TATCCCGTGGGGCTGTGGAGGTGTCGTGCGGGGCCGGCGGTGCGCTGCGTGTACGCCCCGCTGCTGAGAGCGAGTGGCTTACATGCGGTGCGGGCAGCCGTGTGTCTGCATGTGGGAAGTACGCAGACCTCTGCCGCCAGCGTACTGCAAGAGCAACAACAACAACAACAACCATTGCTACTACTACTACTGCTAATGGACAACCAAAGGCGGTGATGGCCTGGATGGGTAGTAGGGATTTTTCCTATGCATTAACAGATGCTGAGAAAACGAAGTACGACGAAGTTTATGAACAAGAAAAAAGAAAGAGAAAAGATTCTCAGGCTGTGCCGAAAAATCAAGTGGAAACACAATTACCGGAACATGAAGATCAGGAAACCACGGGAAACTTGCGAGAAGAGAAACGAGCGGAGGCTGAAGTACCCTTGAAAACCGTACCGGAGGTAAAAACCACGCTTCAGAAGGAAAGTGAAATGGTCGTGCCACTTGTGTCGACTGTAGGGCAAGAAGAATTAACTAACGTTGCTCCTACAGAACCTCTTTTGGCGGGTGGTAAGGCTGCAGGGATTGCGTCACCATCAGTCGGTTCAGATTTAACAAAAACAGAAACAGGCCAATCTGAAGATGTTGATCCTACCAAAAGAAATCCACAAGGTGAGTCGGCAAACTCCACAGAAACTTCACAAGAAAATGTTAATCATGGCAGTGCTACGCAGAATCCTTCTCCAGCAGCGGAGAGTACTGCAACTCCAGATACGACCGCAGTGTCAGAATCACAAGAAACCAATTCCACTACTCTTCCCAGCACCGAGAACACTACCACAGAAACACCAACCACAACTCCATCTCCATCTCTTGTACCTAGCGCAGAGATCAGCAGCAACATCGCCTCCACCTTGCAGAACAAGGCTAATGTTGACAGCAGTCTCAGTCCTCTGTGGATGCGTACTGCAGCACCACTACTGATTGTGGCTATGTTGTTCTCCACTACTGTGTACTGAACGGTGGGTCTCATCTGAGGACAAATAATAATAATAGTGGTTAAACTAACATAATCATGTTTGCGTACATCCCTCGTGGGTGAAATAAATAAACTAATAGTCTGTTTACCAGATTTCTCTTTTAATTCGAATTTCTTTTCTTTTTCTTTTGTGTGTGTGTGTGTTCTTTTTCTAATAATTCAATTACTTGCTTTTCCCGTTGTGTGGTTGCAGAAAACTGGGCTGTTCTGCTCGCTGACGGTATACATCTCTTGCTAGTACACACAGATGTGTGTGTGTGCAATAATTTAATTTACATAAACTAGAGCCATGGGATATTGTGTGTGTGTTTGGCTCTCTCTCTCTCTCTTATTTGGGTATTGTGGGGTGTTATCTTTTCTATTAAGGGATACATATTATCACTACAAGCGGAATATTCCTTTTTGTTGCTTACTGTGTAGTTGCTGCTTTTCTCATCCTCTCCCACTGTGAATATTTGTTGTACTGTTGTATGTTTGTTTGTTTCTATCATAATTCTTTCTTGTCTTCTTCTTCTTTCTTGTATTGGTCTACTGAAGTAAACAGCAACAATGACAAAGGCTGTAATGGTGAGGTGCTACCTGCTCTGCTTATTAACTCTTGCACTCTGTTGTGTTTGTGGGTTAGTATGGGCTGAAACGGGTAAAACTTCTAAGTCCAGTAATTGTGTTAATTATGTTGGTGTTCCTCCTTTTATTAAGACTGTTCCTTGCGATAAGGCTCGTACTGATCCTAACCCTTCTGAGGGGAGTGCTGTTGAGTCTTCAGATGATGGCGAAACTGGAGGCAAGGGCAACAATACAACACGTGAGGGTGAAAATGGAGATAACAACGGAACTGTGGCAACACAACCTTCTGCTGACTCTCCTAACACTTCGGAGACAGGGAGTGGTGATGGTTCTGATACTGCAACACCTGGGAATGGCACTGTACCTGCAGAGAGTGAGTCAACAGGTAACCAAGAAGAGGTTGCAGATAATACAGATCCCACTACCACCACCACAACAACAACAACAACACTTCCTCCTGAACTGACAAACAACAAGAAGGATGATGCAGACAGCAGCAGCAGTATCATCAGTTTTGTGTGGGTGCGTATACCACTACTGATTGTGGTTACACTGGCCTGTATTCTTGTGTGCTGATTGTGGTGTGGTGGTGTGACTCAGGTCATCCTTTGTTTTCTCTTCTTTTTTGCTTGCATCCCTACAGTCTAACTAATCTTCCACCTGTTGGGATTATCTTTGCTTTATTGTTTCTTAATATTAATGTGTTTTGTGTGTTTATCCTATAATTATTATTGCTACTCCATTGTGTGTGTGTGTTCTTGGAGACTGTGTGTGTGTGCTTGTACGGTGATGATAATGATGATGAACTGTTTTTTGCAATGAGAGGAAAAGCAAATAATAATAACAGATGAATTTATATTTATAATTGCGTCTATATACAGATATAGACTTACACCCATAGTTGGTGTATATTTCTATGTTTACTGGGTAAATTGGGCTAATGGTTAATATCTGTTTATTTGCTTATGGTTTGCTGGATCATTGTGTGCTTTTGCCCTTCACGGTTTTTGGTAATCAGTTTTATAAGAGCAGAGGAACAAATAGTAGTTAATGCAATTTGTATTCCTAATTGCTTGAACAGACCAACATACCCAGTGGTCTGTGAGTTATTTTTGTGCGATTTGTCAGCTTCTTCATTTTTTATTTTCGCTTTCTTTGCTTGGGCACTGTGTGCTTTCTCCTGCATTGTTTTGTGTTGGAGTGTTTTGTGGGGAGAAAAAATAATAAAAAATACATAAGTATATATTTGTAATTGTGCTTGGTCCTACAGGAAGAGGCATTTTGATTTATTTCTGTGTTGTGCCTGCTTTTGTTGGTCGTTCTCTTTAATTTCTTTTTTTTTCTTTTGAAGGGTTATTTGGGTTTATCTGTTTGTTATTGGGTATTGTATGGGTTTTTATTTTAATTTGGGTATTATCTGAGTTATGATTGCAGCTTTCTGCAATGTGTGTGCCTCTGCTGTAATTGTTGAGTGTTGTTTGATTTGGTATGTGCTTTCATCTTGTGTTTATTTCCATTGATTCTATTTGTTTCTGTTTTTCTCTCTATACTCTTTCTTCTTTATTGTGCATTCCATTGAAGTAAGACAGGTGCAACGATATCCACAATACCTGCAACCATTGGAAATAATTATAATGATGCGCTACGTGCTGTGTATCCTCGCTCTCCTGCTCTCATGTGCGTGTGTGCACGTCCTCGCTGAAGAAGTGCCTGCCGCCGATCTTTCCGACCAAGTCCCTGATACGGAGAGTGACGCTGAAGAAACACTGTGTGATGCAGCAACGGGTGGAGGAGGGAAGTCGCCTTGCAAAGGACCAGCCAAGTCGGGAGTGATGCAACAAAAAAGTGGTCCAGATGCGGGGAAAGAAAACAACATCAGTAAAGATCTGCAAACCCACTCAATGCAACCTGGTAGAGCTGGTAGCTCCTCCACACAAGTTAGGGAGGATCAAGTTCAAGATGTGGACCAAAAACAACGGGACGGTGAGGAGAGTCCGCAAGACAGAGGAATTAAAGAGGGCAAGGAACAGAGAGATGACAATCATGTCCAAGAACAAACTGCGAGTCCTCCACAAACAGTTACCCGTGGTACTCCACAAACTCCCAGTGATACGGACCGCGTAAAATCGCCTGAAGAGACACAGATTACTCACGAAGAAAATGATAAACATGGTGCGAACGATGCTCAGAGCAGTACATCACCTCCAGAAGCTCCAGTCACAGAACCATCTTCTTCTTCTTCCTCTGAAAATGATGGAACTCAAGGTGGTAATTCTGCAGAAACAACACCAAGTAACCCAGCGAACACGAACTCTGCCATTCTCAATACACCCAGTAATGAGGAATCAACTACCACCACCACAACAACAACAACACTTCCACCTGAACCTATAAACAACAAGAAGGGTGATGCAGACAGCAGCAGCAGTATCAGCAGTTCTGTGTGGGTGCGTGTACCACTACTGATTGTGGTTACACTGGCCTGTATTCTTGTGTGCTGATTGTGTTGGTGTGACTCAGGTCATCCTTTGTTTTCTTTTCTTTTTGCATGCATTCCTACAGTCTAACTAATCTTCCACCTGTTGGGATTTCTTTTCTTTTTTTTGTTTCTTAATGTTAATGTGTTTTGTGTGTTTTTGCTCTCTGTGTGTTTATCCTATAATTATTATTATTGCTACTCCATTGTGTGTGTGTGTGTGTTCTTGGAGACTCTCTCTGTGTGTGGACCTGGGCTTGCACTGTGATGATGATTATGAACTGCTTTTTTGCAGTGGGAAAATGAAATAATAATAACAGATGAATTAATATTTATAATTGCTTATACACACATATATATAGACTTACACCCATAGTTGGTGTAGATTTCTGTGTTTACTGGGTAAATTGGGCTAATGTTTAATATCTGTTTGTTTGCTTATGGTTTGCTTTGGCATTCTGTGCTTTACTGCGGGAGTCTTTGATTATATGGATGTCCTTTTTGCATCTACCTTTACTGAGTTTAATTTGCTGTTTTGTTTTTTTATGATTTGTTTTTGTTCTCCATACTGTTGACGTTCTTTGTGCTTCACTACTTGTACACGCTTGTGTTTTTTTTAAATTATGAGCATTTTGTTAATCTCTCATGTTTTTCTTTCTTTGTAGTTGAGTGTTTTTAAGGGAAACTACTACCACTATTATGTCTATGAAGATGATGGGCCACGTGTTGTGCTTACTGCCATTCTTCCTGTACTGAGTATGTGGATGCGTGATGGCTAGTTATGATAATATGCAGCCTCCATTTCCTGGTGGTCCTGGTGGGATTCTTCAGCCTGCTGTGCCTGGTGGTGTTTCTCATCCTAAACCTTCACATCCCCAACCTGGTGGTGTTTCTCATCCTGGTATTCCTGGAGCTGTTAATCCTCCTCATCCTCGTCCTCCTGGTGGTGTTCTTCCCGGTGGTTCTCATGGTGTTGGTAGATCTCCTCTTCAGTCTCCTGTTGGTCCTCTTGCCGCACAACATGGGCCTCAATCGACCTTTGCTGCTCATCGGGATCCAAGTGCTAATCCTGGTGTGTCTTGTCCTGGTGGTGTTCCTGGTATGGTTGGTCCTGTTCCTGGTGCTAAAGGTTTCCCAAAGACAATTCCCCCTCAGTTACTTCCTCAGCATAAACCTGGTCCTGCAGTTAAACCTGCTGTTCCTGGTCCTGCTGGTGCTGTCGGTTCTCATGATGCTTATGGTATGCCTCTTTCACCTCAACTTAATGGTGGTAATATTCTGCCAGGAGTTGGTGTTGGTCAACGTGTTGTGCCTCCTGTATCTAATAAGCATGAGAAACATCCTGACGAATCTAAGAATATTACTAAAGGTGATAATGGTAATGTTGTTACTGAGAAGGAAGAGGACAAGATGACAAAAGTGGTGGAAGGAGAATTGGGTGAAAGTTCACAAGGTCATGATCGTGGGAATGAACGTCAACCAGAAACTGTCCTATCTCTTGTTTCTCCTGTAAAAGATCACAGTGGCGATAAAACGGATGTGGTGTCTGAACAAGCAAAGAATACGCAGAATCAGACGCTACCCAGTGAGTCAGTTCTGATTGGTTCTGAGGGTCAACAAGAACAGATAAATAAAACTGCACAAGATCCTCAACAAGATGACCACAATAAAGAACCAAATACCACAGGTACAACAAGTACAGAATCCCACGTTACTGTTGACTCAAAACCACATCCTACTACAGATGCATCACCTAGTGAAATAACTCAATCTGGTCTATCTACTGATAATTCAAACACACTAAACAACAAGAGCACGGAGCCCAACAGTACCACTGATGATGTGACAACTACAGAGAATGAATCAACAAATGGTGTCAATACTGTGGGTGCATCAGCAGATGGGAACACCACAACCAACACAAACTCTGTTATTCTCAATACCACCAAAAACCAGGGATCAACCTCAACCACTACCAATACAATTTCTCCTATAAATGGAATCAACAATAGCAACATAATGCTAAATGTAAAGGGTGATGCAGACAGCAGCAGCAGTATCAGCAGTTCTGTGTGGGTGCGTGTGCCACTACTGATTGTGGTTACACTGGCCTGTATTCTTGTGTGCTGATTGTAATGGTGATGGTGTGGTGTGACTCAGGTCATCCTTTGTTTTCTTTTCTTTTTTGCATACATCCCTACAGTCTAACTAATCTTTCACCTGTTGGGAATTATCTTCTTTTTCTTTTTTGTTTCTTAATGTTAATGTGTTTTGTGTGTGTTTTTGCTCTCTCTGTGTTTATCCTATAATAATTATTATTGCTACTACTCCATCATTGTGTGTGTGTGTGTGTGTTCTTGGAGACTCTCTTTGTGTGTGCCTCTGGGTTTGCACTGTGATGATGATGATGAACTGTTTTTTTTCAATGAAAGGGAAAATGAAATAATAATAATAAGAGATAAATTTATATTTATAATTGCGTATATATACACATATATTGACTTACACCCATAGTTGTTGTATTTCTTGTGTTTACTGGGTAAATTGGGCTAACGTTTAATATCTGTTTGTTTGTTTGCTTATGCTTTGCTGGGGCGTTGAGTGTGTTTTTTCTCCTGCGGCAATGATGATGGTGGGATCTTTGAAAAATAAGATTGTTAGAGAGAAAGAATAGTACTAATTGCATATTAACTCAAACATGCTCACATTTCGCTTTGCTTTTGTGTTGTGTGCCATTAGGTTCTGTTTGTTTTATATTTTATTTGGTTGTATGTGGTGTTATTGATTCTTTTTTTTATTGTTTGTACTGTATTTTTACTGCTGATTTTGTTTTTCTCTATTCTTACTTTAGACTGTGTTTTCGTTGTGTTTTTGTTTTTGTTTTTCTTTTTGAAGGTGGTTCGTCCAAATCAATTAAAACTATTTCTTTTCTCTGCAGTAATGATGTTGTATCGTACTTTGTTTTCATTGGCTTTGCTGCTGAGCATTGCATGTGTGGGGGTGGCGATTGGAGAGAATCCTGTTCCTGGGGGAGATATTCAACATCCTTTGGGGCAGAAAGGTGAAGCAGGCCCTCAAGGTCCCCCTGGTTCAGTAGGACCTTCAGGTGATAGAGGGAGTACTGATGAGTCTTTGCCAGATTCTGCTTCTTCTGCTTGTTCTCCAGCTACTACTGGTGGTGAAACTTCTGAGGTTGATGGCCGTACCTGTGATTCTCATACTGTTTCGACTACTGTCCCTTCTGGTGGTGGTCATGGTAGTAGTAGTGGTGGTGGTAGTGGAGGTCAGGGTGCACGGCAGCAGGTACAAGATACATTGGTTGGCCGTACAGATGAGAATAGGGCTGGCAGCGGTACTGCTGAAGATCTCGTCGACCCAGAAAAGAACAATAAAGCACAACCAGACAGTAAGGAACAAAGTAAACAATTAAAGGAAGCTGATAAAGCAGCAGAGAGCCCTTCCGTTGGTGACAAAAGAGACGCTGAGAATACTGATTCCCAAACTGATGCAAGGGTTACTACAC